AAAGGTTACATTTGTGTAATGTGATAATCGATGTGACTATCAAGTGCATTAGTACACCTTATTCTATAGATGAACCAAAAACTTGATTATAAATATAGTACAAGTAATAATCTATTAAAAGAAATTGTTTAAAATAATTTTTGATGACTATTAAAAATAAAAAATGAACTAACACAAAGTCCTAAATACAGATCATAGAAGAAATTAATCAATGGAAAGCAATAACCATTAATGTGATAAATAATTTTGTAATTATTTTGAATATTAGTAGAAGCCAAAATATAAAATATAAATAATTAGTATAAGGAGACTTACTAGAAATATGATGGATATAAATAATTTAATTGAATCATTTTATTGTAAATTAAAATATATTTATTTGTAAGGACAACTAGATAAAAAAACATTTTTTTTTAAATTTTTTTTTTAATTTTAATTTTTTTAAAATTTTTTTTTAATTATATTTTTTTATTTATTATTTTTTTTTAATTTTATTTTTTTAATTTTTTTTCTATTTATATAAGTAGATGACTTAATAATGAAGTGCATGTTTTTGTAGAGATTGTACATCATAATATGAATTTCTCTGTTTTTACAAATAAATTAAAAATTAATAGGATGAGTTTATAACAGCATCAATAACACATTTAAGAAATTGCAAAAACTATACATATTAATAACTGTAATATTTACAAAATTCAGTTTAATATATAGATAGTACATTTTTTGACAAATGAGGATATAGAGTACTCTGTTAGAAAAAATGATTCTGATAATCATTTCAATATTTTTTCTTATGTTTGTAATTATTATGATTTTCAATTATAACAATTACTATGTAAACTTATATTTGTCATACTAATACAAAACAATCTAAACAATTATAATACAGAAGATGATCAACTACTTACAGAATCTATTTTATCTATAGAATCTAGTTCTAATTCAAACATTTTATATAATCTTTTTACAGATAAAAACAATAAAGATTTCTAACTTGTAAAATTGCATAAAGAACTTGCTACAATTTCCAAAAAATAGTAAGATAAAGAAGATAATGATATTTATAATCTTTGAATAGCTTTACAACAAGTAGTTCAAGCAGAAAGGAAAAGAATTATAAGAATTGAATCAGTTTCACAAGCTACTATTAACAATGAACATGAACAAATAGCTTCAAATACAAAAATCAGAATCCAAAATAAGTATTAAATTTTTTTTTTTATGTTCATATATCTAAATTTACTAATTAATATTAAAACTAACCAAAGCAAGATATTTTATATTTGTAAATTTACTAAAAAGGTATTGATGTTTTTAATTAATAAATTCAAATTCAGGATTTGACTTTAATTTAATTTAAGTAGAACAAAAATTTTTAACTGTTTATGTTCGAAGCAAAAAGGTTGCAACTTATAATATAGTAAACCTTTATTTCAACTCATAAGCTTGTGAAAATTATATGGGTTTATAGTATTCATTATAATTTAAATCGGTTATCTTGAAATTTTTATTGAAAGTTTATAAACTTGAAATTTTATCAATAGAAAAGTAGAAAGCCTGTAAACTTGAAATTTTGAATAAACGTTCTCAAATAAATAAAGTATCGAAAAGAATTTTTTGCTTGGGCGACTAGTATACAACAATAAATATTGAGATGCATTTTTTATTTTGTTATACATTTTAAGAGCGTTAATGTTTATTGAATTTTGTGGCTATGCTAAGGGTAGCGTAATCCATTTTATCCAATTGAAGATGATATTTTACAGTCCAATCAGAACTTGGGGAGGAAATTGGGGCTCCTCTTTTTAGTCAACTGATTTTTAATAAGTAGGCTAGTACTTCAGTGTTATCATAATGAGAATAATTACATATAACAGTGTTCTGAAATGACTGAGTCATTTGACTTTTGAAATGACGTGACTTAAATGGCTAAAATTTTATGTCATTTAGTTATATGTCATTTCAAAACTAAGCAAATGACTATGACCAAATGGTTTTAAATGACCTAACGCTAAAATGACTTGAATCAATCGGTCATTTGGTTGGTCATTTGTAACTTGACCACAAATATATATGAGTGCTACCAAGAGAAATCTAGGTTATGCGCTTCGAGTTTATAACTTAACAGACTCAGTCAATATGAATTTTCATAAGTTATAAACTCAAGATCAAAGCTCAGCTTTCCATCGGCAGCACTTAAATGCCATCATTTAGAGATCGCATTAATGGTTGGTTCGAAAATTTTATTGTTATATTAAATATTATTATAGAATAGGCAAAAAAATAATTCGTGATAATCATTTAGCTTAAATAAAACCTCAAGGTAAATAAACTAGTTTCACGAGATAGATAGATCACTACGTATATATTATATTTTAAACTAAAATTTTTTCGGCTCAATTTTTGGACGCTGGACCTAAATTGAACCGGGAACCAGACAAACCAAAATTTGTAACGTATTTTTTTTAAAAAAAACAAATGATTTTTTGTATATTTCAAATGGCTATATGTGAGTCATTTTATTCTAAATGACTAATGACAAATGACAGTCATTTTGAATCATTTCAAGTCATTTAAGTACACTGATATACAGTAATGACGTTCAAGTAAAATTTTTCAAAATTTGGTCTTCATGTAATTATTTTCACTTTAAGACTTTATTTGTAATTATTTATACTTTTGGTCCTTATTTGTAATTATTTTCATTTTTCGGGCTTTATATGTAATTTCTCCGTTCCAGGATGTTTATATAATAATCATTCAATCAAAAATTCTCTATTTTTACATTTCGTACAAACATCGTAATGAAAGCAGTATAAAAATAAACCACTGTTAGGAAATTCGACTCCATTCCAAACAATTTTAGAACAAGAATTTTTATTAGGCAATCAGAGAACAATATTCTAGCTGATACAGATCGGTTCTCTATATCAGATATGAACCGCACAGTCTTAATAAATCATAAATGGGGAACGGACTGGGAAAACCACCGTTTGAACTTACTTTCAAAAGGTGATTTTTCTAGTCTATTCCACAAATCTGAAGTATATAAAACAGATTAGAATCTAAAATCAGATTTCGGAATACTACGTAAACATATCTGCATACTAATTTGGTTAAACTATATAAGTATGTAACCGAGAGATAAATTTATGCACCGTGAATTAGCATTAGTGTGTTTTATTTCAATTGTCATCAATAGCGTTAGAGCCGTGCCTGTCACTTACAGAACACTAGTCATTATATAATAAATGTGGCGTCAAAATTTGGCTGAAACTGAATAACGCGTCTGACTGGTTATTAATAATTTTATCAGTTAGTTTCAAATTCGGCATAATATAACTGTATAAAGCTGCTATTTTATTTTAATTAATATGTATTAGTAAAAACGAGATTAAGTTATTTTTTAAGTTATTTAAGACAAAAAAAAAAAAAAAGGATTGCATTTCACTAAACCGAAATTATATAGAATGTAAATAAAAATGCTGACATGAAACGAAAAAATAAAATAAAATAAAATAAAATAAATAAAATATTGAGATCCTTTTATGAACTTTATGTATTAACATTAATTATTCTATCATTATTATTAACGTTATTAACGTTATTATTGTTATTATCGTTATTGCAATTGTTATCGTTATTATTTAAGGTTTCAGCTTTTATTTTTATCATCCGCATTGGTAACACCTTTCTTCCCTGTCCTCTGCAAAAGTTCTTTAAATCGATATTTAATTCGTGACCCAATCGAACGAACAGATCCGCAACAACCGTCGTAGAATTCATCATCATCATCATAAAACTCCGACCTTCGTCTACTGAAAAAACTACTCGTCATTCGTTTAGATTTTACGGGTCGATGATGTTGAGTGGGCGAGCTAGTTTGATTTTCAGGAGCCGGTATGGTGGAATTAGTAGTGATGTTAATGGGATCAAACGTTATTGCCGCACCATTGGAAGGTTTTCCGTGATGTGCTAATGTCGATTGGGGTTGGGCTGACATTATAGACTTTATTTTTTTAAGCAAAAGGCGAATTAGGTTATAAATGCTTACTTTTAGTGGTTCGAGTTTTTTAATTATAAAAGTTTGGTCAAAAGCATAAACTAGCGAATTTCTCGTTACTAGAGCAGAAAAAACCTTTCATAAAATTCGTCCGTTATATTTATAATTCTTGTACATTATATAACATCAAAATTTAAATTAAATATTACTGTAATATACAACTTCAGATTGTCAGATGACCTTTACACACGAAAGAAATATATAAGGTAGATTCTATACGCCATATACTTTTTTTTGTTATTAATTGAGGTATATATTATTATTCGTACGAATCATCAAGACATAAAAAAAACATATATTGATAATTTATTATAATAGACTAACGCTAATATTTAATAATCTAAAATTAGGCTGTAACTGTTTCTATAATCGATAAAGTTATATAATCAACGGCTTAACCATCGCATATGCCGTCATCGATCCATCAAAATTAGCGCCAAATGGAATCTTGGGTTATTCGAAGCAGGTAGTACGTACTCCGCATGTCACACTCTTTATGAAAAGTTATATATATATAACAAAACCTAAACAAGTCGTACATACGTACGTATGGAGAGTTCTCATGACTAATTCATCCCTTATCATATAAATCTACGTTTTTTCCTTCATTTCGTCTCCAAATGTTTGTGTAAATGTAAAATGAGATGAGATATCATAGATATTGCTAAATTAGTCACAATCAGCTATTGTTTTTAATTTTACCTAAAAGATTTTCTCCGAGAAATACTTCTTTCGCTTGATTAAAGAAATTCATCGGTCCTACGCGTCCCACATGACCGTCTTTAATAAAGACTGCGGTTTTAGTGTTAGCTCAAAATTGCTAAGGCCATAGCCTCGCTCACAATCAGTCCCAGGATCCAAGTATTGTTCCGATTTTAAAATTATTAATATTCCATTTAGAATTTAAAAATTAATTACGATTAGTATTTGCACCTGTATCACCAATCTAATATTAATAGAATACTCCGTTTCTCTAAATGTATACTTTTGAAAGTGATCAACATACTACATAGACCAACCCCTAACCCTAACTTCTAAATTAATATTAGTCAACCCCAATTCCTAAATTAGAATTAGGTCAACCTAATTTTAACTTTAACTATCTGAATCATATCGTATATAGCTTTGATATATGCTATGTAAAGTGATATTGTCTGCCTCAGACGTTACCAGATATGGTGAACTCTAAAACAAGGTGCTGTCATATTTAACGTTAAAGTAAATGTTAATGCACCGAGACTGGTTTAGACATTCGTTTCTTGTTTTTTTGCTTTTTTTGTTTCATCAGGCTAGTTGGTGCGTATGAATTAGAATTAAAACACCGTATTTCTCCGACATATGTACGTACCTCTTCTGCTACGTATACCTTTCAATAATTTAGGCCAAATTTTTGATTTATACCCGGGTACATGTGTACCCGGGCATGTAATAAAATCATAGTCATTCACATGACATGTCCCCACACAAGTACCGTATTTCGCCATGAAAGAATATCCGGAGTATCTTATAATCTAAACAATCTCACCGGACGTTTTTTTTGATATACCCTATGAAATTTTTTTCAAAAAACATCCCGACATTCCTTAAAATGCTCATTTTTCATGGTCATTTCCATAGAAACCTGATTATTTCCTGATAATAATCAAATCCGAGTAATATTCGGCATCTAATTATAATGAAATATTGTACAAAGATTAGAAGCCGAATATTAACAGGATTGATTATTACCGGAAAATTGTCAGGCTTCTATGAAAATGATCAGGACTTGTTCCGGAATAATGTGCCGGAACGATAATCTGGAGAAAGTCAGGATATGTTTTTTGACCATTTTTATTGTACAGTGAAGTGTATATGATGCGGTGAATTTCGTAGAAGGATCATACCCAAGTTTTGTATATTTGGTCATACCTCCGGACATCCGTCTTTTTATAAATTTATTTGAATCTGATAAATTTATCAAAAATCAAATTCATCAGTTATCAGGGCATGCATTTTTTCACCAAATTTTATCAAATAATTTTAAATAAATATATAAAAGAATCTAGTGAATTGTAAAAAAAATAGTTGAATATTTATAAATCCAAGTATTATTTAACATGTATTTTAGGTATACGTATATTAAAATATATATCTGATATACGTAGTATTTTTTTAAAACATTAAAAAAAAAATTATAATTGATTATTAAGGTAATACGTATGAAATCAATTAATTGGTTTTTTATAATTTAAACTAATTTTAGTTAATTGTATGTACAATAGAATTAGTTAACAAAATAGGTTTTTTTACAAAGTATGTGCTATATATAAGAAACCAATTGTATAAATTTAATTAATTCTAATAAATTTCTAGAGTGTTTATAATATTTAATACAATTTATATATTAGTTATAAACTAAGTTTTTATTTTTCTATAGTTACCTTCTCTAAAGTTACAAATTCTATAAAATCATTTGTTTATTTATTATTTTATTTTTTTTGTGTTAAAGTTCCTGTCTTTGAGGAATGATTTTTATTCAAGTTATTATAGACACAACACAGAGCCTTTAGGAGTTTTCCTTACATAAAAGGTTATAACTAGTCACATGTACATTTTTGGTACCTAATTTTTTTTAAAAAAAAATATTAAAAATGGGATTATGTTTTTAACTTTATCAAGTAACATTTTTATAAAGTAAGGTTTTTTTTAAATTGCATATGAAGAATAAAGACTCAGACATAATCTGTAATTTATACTTACAAAAGTAATCAAAGCTTATCTAGATTTGAGTGTAAGTAATAATATAAAAAAGAAAAGTAAGATGTGGTGATTTAGTAAAGTGAATAAGTTGTCAACCTCAAGTAGTAGATTGGATGTTCAAATTCTATTAACAATAAAATTTAAACAATCATTTATGTAATACTCATATTATAACAACTGTTTCTAATAATTAGATTAAGATATCTGTAATAATATTTTGACTGGCAGGTTATGAGACATTTATAGTATACAATCAATTTACTAGATATTTCAAAAAGAACCTCAAAAGTGCTTTTGTTATAATGTTTTAAGAACAAAAAAATAAAAGAAGTATATATCTTAAGCAACAGAAATGGTAATTAGAAAAAATTTACAATAATCATCTTTACAAATACTTAGGCAGCAGAAAAGGCTTAGATATCACTAATTTGATACAACAATTATCGAGTCTGCTAAGAAAAACCTAAAAAAAATTCAAGAGAAAGAAAAAAAAAAATCAAAAAATAGAAAACAAGAAAGATCTAAGATAAAAATAAGAAAACAAGAATTATTAGAAATCAAAAATGCAAAACAAGAAATTTTAAATAAGAAAAATATAGAAATAGAACATGTTAGTCAGAATATAGAAAAGTAGTTAGAAACCAAAAACATTAATACAGAAAAGAAAAAAAAAACTGAAAGAAAAAGAAGACAAAATTAGAACCAATAGCCACATATGTAAAGAATATCTTAGCATGAATTTGAACAGATTAGACAGACTAGAAAAAGTGCAATTGGGCACAAAAGAAGGCAAAGTCTTGTTGATTACTCCTAAAAGCACTCTAGTTAAATTCATAAATATAGACAAGATTATAGATTTTCTGTAAAACAAAAGAAAAGCCTTTAAAGAAAAAAGTAGAAAAGTATTGTATAACTTAAAAGTTGAAAATAACAAAAAAATAAAAAAAAAACAGTAAATACAGATACAAAACAGAATTAATTAACAAAAAAATAAAATAAAATAAAAATAAAAATATAAATAGCATGTCATAATATTAATGAACTAAAAACTAAAAAATGAAAATTAAAAAGTCTGATCAGCTAGACAAAAAAAAAAAATAACAATCTTAAAAATTAAATATTACAAAAAAAGAAAAAAAAATTCTTATTGTATAATCAAAATATATAATACAAAAGTACTAGGCTAGTACAATATTAGACAAGAAGAAAAAGTTAGAAATAGATATACTAATAGATGTAAAATAAAAAAATTATATAGAAGCAATTAAAGAGTTAATAAATATATAATAAAAGTGTAATTATACTTTAACCAATTTTTTTACTTTATCTAATCTAGTTTATACTAATTTTATTTTTATTATTCATAATATTTCTATTTCTTATCATATTGCTACTTTTTTTTCTGTCAAACTTCTTTTTTATTTAACCAACAAATATATGAACAAATATAGATCTTATACTATATTTCACATTCTGCACAGTTTTAAATCACACTTTTTACTAACTTAACTTATAGTTTTTCTTCTAGTTTACTCTTATCTCCTATTTTAATACTACAAATTATTACTAAAATTGATCTTTAACTATCTAATAAATTAAATATTATATTTCTCTTTTTTATATTATTACTAATATTTAAATTTAGATGAACTTTGGCTACTCTTGTAGGTTTAGGTTACAGATTATATGTTTAAGTCTTTATTTTTCATATATAATTTAAAAGCAAGTTTTTCTTTATAAAAACTTTAATTAAGTTTTAATAAAATTAAAGGCATAGCCTTACTGTTAATATTTAAAAAAAATACTTCAGATAATTAGAATTAGTAATAATAAAAATATTTATTCTATTAAATAACAAGCTAATTAATAAGAAAATTTAGTAAAGAATTGTAAAAATAGTGACAAGCAGTAAAAGATATACAGAAGTAGTTATATTAAAAGATTTTAATCATACAGTAAACAATGTTATAAACAAACAACATCTATAAACAATAAATTATAAAAAATTGCCAATTTTCAATTAGCTTAAAAAATAAGAATTTACAGATTTATACAAAAGTTTATACCTAACAGAAAAGATATTTACATAATTAAATTATGAAGTGACAACAAAAATTAACTATATCTGGTTATCAGAAATACTTACAACAAATTTTTAAAAAACCAATATATAAAAAATAAAAAGGTTAACAAATAGTAAT